TTTGTCAGAAATCATTGGTGGACTTGAGCTCCATAAACACTGTAACACTGCTTACCACTGGGGCTTCCGGCGGCGCGATCCTGAGCCCTTGAGACAAGATGCCAGCGTAGTTTGTAGTGCGGGATCCATGCCATAACAAGCGGCGATTGTGAAGCTCTCTGAATGGCTGAAATCGATCGCCTTCTCCGTGACGGTTCACCTTGAAAACCTGGACGCGAGAAAGAAAGACAACGGGCTTGTATTCCTCAATTTAGACAAGGTACATTCGTATAGGAGTATCGAGATTTTTGGACTTGAGTCTGTCATAGGCGGGGTTACATAAATGCTCTTCAAATGTAAGGAGGTATTTTCGGTAACACAAATTCCCTCTTGCGGACAGTTTCGTTGACAGTACACCCTGATCATACTGACAGCAGCTAAATCCCAGCCAAAAATAAATTATAGACGCTTGAATGAAAGTAACTGTAACTCTCCACTGTAAAAGAAACAAGGGATTGAAATCAACCTCGCTTACCTCTAGCACTTCCAGCTCGTACTGAGTATGCGTTTCAGCGTGTGTGTTTTTCACGTACTGCTCGATCATTGAAAATTCCTTGGAGTCTTTGCAAAGAACCTTAAATTAATAAAAACAAACATCAGAATCTGGGAAAAAAATCACTTTCGAATGAAAAACAAAAACCATTATTTATTTACCTCCAAATCAGTATTTAGTTTTTCGTAATTAACGTCCAAAGGATCCTTAGCCAGATCTTCCTCTCCGCTCTTCAACAAGCTGTACGCTACTTCGATATCGAGCAAGTTGTCCAACATACCAACTTTAGCCTTAAACGAAATTTTAAAACAAGAGTTACAATCAAACCTGTATACTAACGGTTACCCTAGGGAAATGGACAGGTGACCGTTAAATACAGGGTGACCGCTGTGTAAAGATTTCGTTCAAACTTTACTATAACGTTTTTATGCGAAAATAATCACTTTATTTATACAGATTCGAAAGTAAATACGGTCTGGTAAAGAACAAAGCAAATAGAGCGTTTTCACATGACGTCACGGCGGCCATGTTGGTGTTCCAAACCAGTCCTGAGGGAGTTAAACTCTTTTCTAATGTAAAGGCTTTCTTTTGTTGCAATAAATTTGCATAGATGCTGGTCACGTGAGTTAAAACGCTCCATACGGATGCTAGAAGACAGATACTACAGTTGTTCGAATGCAATTAGATAAGCACTTTCGTTGCTACTCTGTCGAAAACATATGTCGGATACCGGTGATGACATGTAATAGACCTTATTCACGACATCCGCATCTTTGCACGCGCTAAAAAACTGGGCCCAGTTGCTCGAAGCATGGTTAGCGTTAACCAGCGTTTAATACCTTGACAACGTATTGGTTTTGATACTGCTTAACCAAGGGTTAAAGCTAACCATGCTTTGAGCAACTCAGCCCTTATGGGCATAAAGCAATGTCACGTGGTTTCTCAGAGGGCAAACAAATGATTAAAGCTGCCAATGCAAGAAATCGCGGTTGGGTTTGTTTATGCTATCAAAACAAGACGATGATTTAATAGTCTAGCAAAAAATACATTTCGAGTTTCGACAAGATTTACGTCATTATTGTTTGCTGTGAGGACATCTACGGTCGCTAGACCGGTCGCCATAGCATCCACAGAAGTAACGATGTTTACTTCTACCCATAATTTGCCATTATCGTCTTTATTATCAAAAGTTCTTTATTTTCTGTTGTCTAGAGTGAACAAACTCAACCGCGATTTCTTGCATTGCCAGCTTTTATCATTTGTTTGGCCCCTGAGAAACCACGTGACAATGCTTTTTTCCCATCAGTCCTTTAGCGCGTGCAAAGATGGCAGTTTTTGTGAAAAAGGTCTATTGTAATGTAGTCGTGTTACGAATTGTACCCATGTAAGGGAACCCGGAATCCGGAATGGAGAAAAATTTTGCAGTGGAATCCGAAATACAGCTCAAGAAATCCGGAATCCCACTAATTCATCCCACTTCTTAATTCTAGACGTGTGGATCACCTGAATCAGCTCCAAGTTGTCCAACATTGGAGGCTTTTTCATTCCAAAGTCGTGTGGGATAAGTGTGTAAAATCTGTTGGACGCATCAAGAATGGAATTAGAGCTTCCACCATCTGAAATGAGCTGCAATAGAACAAGCAAAAAAAGTTAGAAAGAGTTTCATTTGGATACAACGTTTTGGCTCCGTCCATACAAATCAGGATATTAAAAAGTCAGGATACTACAAGTGTTTGTTTATCCCAACATTGTTAGGAATGGGGAGGGAAGGGGAGGGCCATTCGCGGGATCCAAATTGTTACAGAAGTGCATATGACGCTAAATCAGCATATTTGATATTTAAGGATATGGAAGGAAGGTTTTCAATAACCGTCCCAAGGATTTTTGTCCTCCATTGTAGCTGATGCGTGTGGACAGGGCCTCATTTGCTTGGAAAATATCGGTTAACGTTGTACAGGTTAATTAATAAAACTACAAGAAAGAAAAACTTTGCGAAACATGAAAAGAGGAAAAGGAAAATACTTCTACTAATAAATACAACAAAACGAAACATTACATGTATACAATCATTTCACATTTCATAAGAGCCACTCTTCCTATTTAACATGGCCCACTACTTTTCTGCTGTGAAACTCGCGACTTTGTGCTGAGCTCGCTAGGCCGCTATGCGGCCCAAAAAGTTCTCCTCGCTCGCTTTACATCTTAACAGCTGTGAAAGTCGCGAGGTCGACTTGTGGCAAGTCTAATTTTACCCCAATATCTCACGATCCGCTTCGTTCACGGAGCCTTTCCTTGTCAGATTACATTTGCACTAGACAGTGGACAAATGTATTTCTAAAAAGAGCGTACCTGCCACTTTATTCTGAATGTTTCAGTAGAAGTTCACGTTTATTACCCTGCCAAACCATTGGAAGAACAGAGGAGATTCTCAAGCATTGTCGACCTTAAAGTTTCGGCTAAAGGTTAACGGCTAACGGCTAACCGCGTCCGGTTAACCTTAGTCCGTAGAGCGGAGCGTAGTCGGCTAAGCGGGCGGTCAAGGGTTCGATTCTCGGAGCCAGACCAACACTAAGTTTCAAACAACTAAGAACGAAGGTGCTACCTTTGCCCTGCAAACAGTTAGGCTATCGTCAAGCTCGGATGATCACGTAGAATTGGCCATTTCCGAGTTTCCCCGGGCATCTGTATCAAAACGAGGTTAAGTGCTCAGCTTTTGATATGGAAATGATTTTTCATTCTCACGCAAATAAGGCTCATTTTCACAAGAAAGGTTGTGCATTTGGTCTTATTTTGAAAGTCAGGGTTTTTGGAACTCGGAAGTGGCCCGCGGTCCGGCATCCAGTAGTGTCTTCAGATATTATACTTACGTGTTAAAGTGCTAAATACATTGAAGCTTAAACCAGATTAATTATTTCTGTTAATCGCTAACCTTCTGTGCTTCTCCAAGTACAGCATATGCACTTTCTATCTGCCGTTTTGTTAGCTTTCCTAAGGGCATTTTCTTTAAGTCGATCTAACAAAAAAAAGAGAAAACATCTTTTATCTGAAAAGCCTGTTACTTTAAGACTTTCTCCCCTATATAAGTTACCGAGAGATACTGTACAAGAAAGAGGCTCACTTCAAATTCCACGAGTGTTTTCTTCATGGACTCTACATCAAATATCATTTTGATCAGTTCTTGAATGGGAGCGGAAAGAAGCGATTTGCTGCCTGGTGCAATTGTGGTCTTCAACTCCTCTTCGTCTTGGCCGTAATCTATTTCCAGCGGATAGAACTTGTTTGGATGTTTCACAAAGTTCTTTCTGTTTAACCAGCTGTTTCCTGTAAATAAATCAGGCAAACATGAGAGAAAAAAAAAAACTATCAGTTCTAAAAAAGAATGCAACATTTCCAACAGAACTTCGTTTACGATTTAAGAGTCACTCCTAAATGACAAGCAATGTGCACTGCGTAGTTTGGTTAAAGTGGGGTTTTAATAAAGGAACAGTGCCAGTTTGGTGGGGTAAAGAAAAAAGTTGCTAGTAACGGGACATGGGGGTCGCAAAAACAAAATGATCAATTTAGCGGGGGGAAGGGAGGGGTGG